CATCTGTGGAGATCTGCTCAGGTACCCCACCTCGTGAAATGAACCGCCAGACTGGCGATGATTTTTCAAGTGGCCTCGTTGGGGAAGTGGGCGATCTCAGCCAACCTGTGATCAGTCCAGCATATGCTGCTGAGTACGTGCAGCCCTGCAAGTGGAACAAATCGGCCACCACTTGTTGAAAAGGATAGTCTGGCGCTGGGGTCAGAACCAGCGACTCGGAGGCTGGGAAGGGAGCGTGGGTCTCGCAAAGCAGCACACCAGGACCGATGATGCTGCAGGTCACCCTCCATGCCAGGCCAATAGACAGACTGCGGGCCGCTGAGCATTGAGTCGAGGCCTAGTGCCCCACATGCAGGTTAACGGCGACCGGTGGCGGAGAGGAGTCGGGGATGACAAGGCGCACGCAGCCCTGGTCAAGGTGTAGGTGACCAAGCCCCTGACCACAGCCAACCTGTCCTCACCGAGAATACAGGCGGACAGGCCACCTCATTTGTGACTTGTGGGGGTGCCAGTCGCCCGCCAGCACCTCGACACTAGAATCTGGTACACTGGGTCGTCACCGCCTTTTGCACTGTCTTCGTCCGTGGTGCCCATCCTGATCAGTGCTGCGATTGTGACTGCACACACTGCAGCGCACAGGTCCTCCTCTTGGTCCATGTCCTCCGCATCAGGCGCCCGCCCTGAGGAGGCAGAGATAGGCGTCAGCTGCACAGTTCCAGAGCTTCCCTGGCAAGCTGACCGTGAATCGGTACTGCAGGGTCTTCTCCTTGAGCTACAAGACAGGCGCAGATTCGCCCATCCGTGAGGCTCTGTCCCCTATATGAAGCCAACTAAGAGGCGTTGGTCCGTCACCAGAATGAGGTTCCGGGCAGCCAAGGAGGAACAGCCTGGCCGCGGGCACCACACCTGTGGGCCTCCCCTTCATACTGCAGCATAACCGGCCTCGGCCGTGCTCAGATATCGGCTACCACACAGAGGCCAACGCCACCTCCTCTGCGGCAGAAGGGGCGTCTCTGGAGAGGCACAGGCGCAATGTTGTTGCGGAGACGAGCCAGAAGCGATGCCCTCCCCTGCTCCAATCAGTGACAGCTGCCGTGGGCCTAGTTTGTCGTAGTACACCAAAACCGTCTCTGGCCAACTGACAGATGGTGTGTCCTGGGCCTGCTTGAGCTTTGAGCCGCGGCTGGTCGTCCCAATACACCTGCTTGCCCTGGCTTCTTGAGAGCTCACGGAAGGCTCCATCACAGGTGCAGTGGCAAGGAAGGAGCCAACTGGTTAACCAGGCCATGCCAGGACCTGATGTCAGTGATTGATGGCTGATCGGCATAGAAGTCATGATGGCTGACAGACGTTGGGCAGTGGGCTGGTACAGGTCACCCAGAAACCCACAAACTCAGCTTCTCTCTGCAGAACAAGAACTTTTCTGGTTTCAGCGTGATACCTGTCTTGGCCATGAGTCTCCAGAAAAAATCATCAGTGTGCCAGAACGCCCCCTTCACACTGGAGTCATAGAGAGAGTGTCATCCACGCCCCCACTTATGCCACAGGGCACATCCTGAATAGCGTCGTCAAACCTTAGTGTAAGCATCTGGCTGAGCAATGTCCATGGGCGTCCTGCAGTATCGAAAACGTCCCCGCAGGCGTGATGAGATGTGGTCAGGCGTCTACTCTCCTCCTCAACTCCATGATGGGAAATCCCAAAGGCGTCGGCGACAGATTTTTGAACAGAGTGCACTGGCACCCCAGACACCATGTCCAGATGGTGCGGGTGTGTGGTCGTCTCCCTCAGACAGCTTGCATTGGGCGTTGGAAGTCCACAGTGCGCCTGGGCTGACCGTTTTTCTTGGCCACCACGACCATCCTGGCGCACCCTCCGTAGCCTCTGTGAGCTTTGGCTGGATGACGCCTCTCCTGGCCGTCCTCCTCAACTGGGCCTTCACCTCCGGCTTCCCCGGTGTTTCCGGAACAGGGCGGGTGTGTGACAGGCATAAGTCGTACCGGGCGTCAGGTGGATGCGGTGAGGGGACCAGTCGCCTTGTTGGCAGTGGGGACCTGCTGGTGTTGAATGCAGTGAACCCGAAAGTGCGTGAGTAGCCATGCCTCCAGCCTGGCCACATTCTCCTCCAAAGGAGGCAAGGGTATCTCAACTGGCCTCGGCAGAAGCAGCTGCTCTCAGGTAGAAGCAATTCCGGAGGTGATCGTCAGCCAGTGTGCCGCTCCTCCATCGCCCGGCAGCCACGCGTCTATGGGCAGAAGTCGACAGAGCACCCAGAGTTGGGGCACTTGCGGGCCTCCAATAGGCAGATGAGGAGCTGGCTGTCTGCTGAAAGTGGACCTCCTGGACGGTGGACCTCGTCCACACCGAGGGCAACGGGGGCGGACCCCCAGACACTTGAGCTGTTTGTTCGCCACGTCCTTAAGCCATTACGGGCGAAGTTGCCCCGGACACAAACCGATGTCCGGAGCGGGGATCGCCTGCCACACACACCCATAGCACCCATTATCGGCTACAGCCAGCACAGGGTGGCAGAGGTACCCCGGCCTGGGACTGAACACTTGTAACCTGGGGTGGCGGGATAGCTGGGCTGTTGCCACTGTAACAGCGCCTATTTTATCCACAGGAGCATAGGACTGACACCTCCTACAGCACCTTTTAGGTGACCAACCTTACCACCAATTGCGACATGTACTTGCAGGGGCAGTTAGCACACCAGGTGCATGTGACCGCCCGCAATTACCACAGTGTCCTCGACCCAGGTGTGGAGGTCGGGCAGCAGCTACCTCAGGCTCACCAGTGACGTCATGCCACCGCCACTGCCTCCACCCAACTGTTCCCACCACTGCCTGGCCGGACTCGTGCGACTGTGCACCAGCATCTCTCCTGCTGCCTCCAAATAACATGCATTTGTTTCCCCTGGCACTTCAACACTATTATAACTTCGTACCCTAAATTTCGCTTTTTCAACACTGGGTTACTCAGGCCTATAACTTTACGTAATAGCATGTACTCAGAGGTCGTTATCACAGGTGGGACATTTAAATTCACACTCCACTGCTTCTGAGAAGCATCGTTGAAAAATACCTTTTTCATAGGCTCCTCTTCACCTTGTTTGCTGTTGAAAAAGCTAGATTTCCATTTCACAGCTTGGTTTGAAGATTGAAGAACCATTCCACTGATGGCGTCCAGGGGCTTCTTTGGGCGAGCTGCTCCCACTGACCGCTGGGGTATCTCGATCAATCACTCTTTGGGTGCAGGGACGCAGTTCAGGCCAGATGTGAGTCAATACCAGCTGTGGCCACCCGTTCAGCAGCACCCATGACTCCATGGACCGCCTCCATGTCCTAAACACGCAGCTGCTGGCATTTCTGCCTCACCACTTCTCTGGAGCGACAGCTGCTGGGGAGCTTCATGACCGGCATGAAGCACGAGCCACCGCCAGCACCTAGAGACGCCATCTGAGCCATCAATGCACTCATGGCCTGCTGCTGGGCGCGTGGTGTTCGGCGTGTAGAGGCCCTGGCGTCCCTTGAGGGCGTCGAGAATCGTGGACGTGTAGGGGGCCATGTCAGCGTTCTTGTCCAGGGGCTGTAATGGCGTGTCGGGCTGACATATCCTACTCACTGTGGCGCCATGTATGAGGGGTTGGAGTCTCGCGAACCATGTTTTTCTGCCTAGACTTTATTATAACAGCGTCAGCTGGGCACTGTAACAGGCGCTGCCAGAGACCAAGCCCCCACTCAACATGGGAAAACATATCGTACGATAATTTGCACTCTTGCATATTACAGATTACTACAGTGATACAAGACTCTGGATTAATACAAAATACTACATACAGATTACTACAGTGATACAAGACTCTGGATTAATACAAAATACTACATACAGATTACTACAGTGGTACAAGACTCTGATTAATACAAAATACTAATACAGATTACTACAGTGATACAAGACTCTGGATTAATACAAAATACTTCATACAGATTACTACAGTGATACAAGACTCTGGATTAATACAAAATACTACATACAGATTACTACAGTGGTACAAGACTCTGGATTAATACAAAATACTACATACAGATTACTACAGTGGTACAAGACTCTGGATTAATACAAATACTCATACAGATTACTACAGTGATACATCTGGATTAATACTACATACAGATTACTACAGTGATACAAGACTCTGGATTAATACAAAATACTACATACAGATTACTACAGTGGTACAAGACTCTGATTAATCAAAATACTACATACAGATTACTACAGTGATACAAGACTCTGGATTAATACTACATACAGATTACTACAGTGATACAAGACTCTGGATTAATACAAAATACTACATACAGATTACTACAGTGGTACAAGACTCTGGATTAACAAAATACTACATACAGATTACTACAGTGATACAAGACTCTGATTAATACAAAATACTTCATACAGATTACTACAGTGATACAAGACTCTGGATTAATACAAAATACTACATACAGATTACTACAGTGGTACAAGACTCTGGATTAATACAACTACATACAGATTACTACAGTGGTACAAGACTCTGGATTAATACAAAATACTTCATACAGATTACTACAGTGATACAAGACTCTGGATTAATACAAAATACTACATACAGATTACTACAGTGGTACAAGACTCTGGATTAATACAAAATACTACATACAGATTTACAGTGGTACAAGACTCTGATTAATACAAAATACTTCATACAGATTACTACAGTGATACAAGACTCAGGATTAATACTACATACAGATTACTACAGTGGTACAAGACTCTGGATTAATACAAAATACTACATACAGATTACTACAGTGATACAAGACTCAGGATTAATACTACATACAGATGACTACAGTGATACAAGACTCTGGATTAATACTACATACAGATTACTACAGTGATACAAGACTCAGGATTATTAAGACGGATTACTATAGTTACAGCACAAGAACGCCCTCACCACCCATCCTTCACATAAACAAACATATTTATCTATATTCTACGTCAAGTATTAACATTATATCACCCTTATTAACATTAAATTACATGATTTAGTGTCATTGTAAGATACAGGTGATAATAGTGAAGATACAGGTAATAATAGTGAAGATACAGGCACTGTAATAATAGCTAAGGTACAGGAGGTGACGGTGTTGTCATCAACAGGTCAGAGGTTTTATAACTTGAGGTGACAACAACTGCTGCACTGTACTGTCTCAAACACCGGTAAATATGTTGTTTTCTCCTTTATAATGACTACCACCACTACTGGCCATTGTATGAAGGATATATCTTTACCCAGAACAAGACTGGTTGCCTTAAAACTTGCCATAATAAGAGTGAGAAGAGAGAAAGGTGTGAGACAACTTTGTGTGTAATCAGATTCAGATTTGCTCCCGAGGGGGCTAGTTTATTGTGCACCCCCTTACATCCTGTGCAAGGTGAAGCGTTTACAGCGCCCAACAGGGAAGTATGAAAAGTTCATACTTGCCTTTATGACTCGTACATTAAGGGCGTGAAAGCCTGAAGGGTCATAGGTTTTGTCAAGTTACATAAAGTGAGAGAATGATGAGTGTGTGGGGGGAGAGTTCCCGGTACATTTTATCTGTTTATGGCAAAGAGTGGCAGGTCCCTAATAATGTGACTAGGAGGAGGGATATCTGGTCTGGGAGGGAAGAGGTGTTGGTAACGGCTGGGGACCTGTAGGAGGAGGTCATAGGGCAAGTGAGGATGTAGTGAGAGAGGGTGTGAGAGTCGGGTTGGCCACAAAGTTTACAAACAGTGCGGTGAGGCTCAGGGTTGCCAATGTACTCCCATAGGTACCTGTACCCTAGGCGCAGTCTCATGTATATAAGCTGTTGAGATCGAGTCAGGGATTGATATTCTTTGTAGTGGCGGTTGTCGTCACCGGTTTTGTGTGTAATGTAAGCGTTATATCGATAAAATTATCGTCTCGGTCACCCCAATGTTTTTCCGACTGTTTTTGACGTGTTTTGAAAGTTTTTGATCTTACTTAACCCACCTAACTGTCCTAACCGACCTAACCCATCCAACCCACCTAACCCAAACTAACCCAACCTAACTCACCTATCCCACCTAACTGTCCTAACCGACCTAACCCATCCAACCCACCTAACCCAAACTAACCCAACCTAACTCACCTATCCCACCTAACCGTCCTAACCGACCTAACCCATCCAACCCACCTAACCCAAACTAACCCAACCTACCTAGCCGCAGAACCCAAGAACTTTATCTAACCTAACTTAAATTCCTATGATGACCGACACGATAATAATACCTTTGTATCATTAATAACTGTTACAGAATTAAAGAAATGTTACACAAGTACAGCACTGGAATGTGTGTGGCTACAGTACTGTAATGTGTGTGGCTACAGTACTGTAATGTGTGTGGCTACAGTACTGTAATGTGTGTGGCTACAGTACTGTAATGTGTGTGGCTACAGTACTGGAATGTGTGTGGCTACAGTACTGTAATGTGTGTGGCTACAGTACTGGAATGTGTGTGGCTACAGTACTGTAATGTGTGTGGCTACAGTACTGTAATGTGTGTGGCTACAGTACTGGAATGTGTGTGGCTACAGTACTGTAATATGTGTGCTAGTACTACTATAATAATATTATTGGCTACAGGAGAATTAACTGTAATGTGTGTGCTTCACAGTACTGTAATGTGTGTGTGCAGTACTGTAATGTGTGTGGTGCTGTGGCACACAAATGCACTGTAATGTGTGTGGCTACAGTACTGTAATGTGTGTGGCTACAGTACTGTAATGTGTGTGGCTACAGTACTGTAATGTGTGTGGCTACAGTACTGGAATGTGTGTGGCTACAGTACTGTAATGTGTGTGGCTACAGTACTGTAATGTGTGTGGCTACAGTACTGTAATGTGTGTGGCTACAGTACTGTAATGTGTGTGGCTACAGTACTGTAGTGTGTGTGGCTACAGTACTGTAATGTGTGTGGCTACAGTACTGTAATGTGTGTGGCTACAGTACTGTAATGTGTGTGGCTACAGTACTGTAATGTGTGTGGCTACAGTACTGTAATGTGTGTGGCTACAGTATATGTGTGTGTGCTAATGCTAGAATGTGTGTATTTAGTACTTTGTAATGTGTGTGGCTGTGAAGTACTATGTGTGTGTACAGAGTACTGTAATGTGTGTGTACCACAGTACTATGTGTGTGTGTGCAATGCTGTAATGTGTGTGTCTGATACTGTAGTGTGTGTGCTTTACAATAATGTGTGTGGCTACAGTACTGGAATGTGTGTGGCTACAGTACTGTAATGTGTGTGGCTACAGTACTGTAATGTGTGTGGCTACAGTACTGGAATGTGTGTGGCTACAGTACTGTAATGTGTGTTGCTACAGTACTGTAATGTGTGTGGCTACAGTACTGTAATGTGTGTGGCTACAGTACTGTAATGTGTGTGGCTACAGTAGTGTAATGTGTGTGGCTACAGTACTGGAATGTGTGTGGCTACAGTACTGTAATGTGTGTGGCTACAGTACTGTAATGTGTGTGGCTACAGGCAGTGCAGGTAAAGTTACTACAGTTATTCTATTAATGGCCAACTTTATAACAAATTCTATAGATAAAAAGGTAATCCCGCAGCACACTGCTAACACCAGAATGCATTGTTCAATTTCATTAATTTTTTCCACAAATGTTCTTTGATTCCGTGCAACAACCGACCCGCTCGGTCTGAGCGTACTCTCACGTCCAGAAATAACACTTCAAGAAAATTGCTTTCATTGGTACCAGACATAATATATGGTGGGGGTTGGGCAGTGTTATATTGTTTTTGTTACTTATTTTCATACAAAGAACATCTGCTTCAGTGTTACCCCCAAAAATTCTTGTTTCTTATCTCCAAAACATCCTTAAAATGTTGGAGGAATTGTAACTTTCCTACTGTACTTTTGTTCTAATTTTTTCACACTGGATGAACCTGTGTTGTGCACCTCCTCCATGTGGCGGCCAGAATCAGACAGACCAACCCACTCACCTCTCCTAGGACAGGTTAGGTTAGGTAATACTTGAAGAGGTTATTGTATGTTAACCAAGAACTTGAGGACATTTTTCTATGGATGGTAAATGTTTCTCTTTTTACCTCATGAATATCCCATAAAGTGTATCTGTTATACTGTGTACTGTAGACCATACACGTGAAGGATCAGCAATTTTGTAATATTTTTGTATGGAGGATGATAACTGGGTCAAGATTTGATAGTGACCATAATGGGAAGTTAATGCCCAAAATAGGTTAAGATATGGAAAAGGTCAACCATGGAACTGTAGGTTGATTTATTTGATGGGAGAAAGAGCAAAAAAAAAAAAGCATTGTCATTTTTTTTTTTTAGTTTTTCTGATTTTTTTATTTAAGGTTTGGTTCTGTAGGTTCCTTTGTGTTTTATTTTGTCTTGTCAGGTTATATTTACACACAGGGGATCCAGGAGTCCAGAGCCCCCTTGGCTAGGAGGTTAGATCAGGTCCTTCTGGTTAGGTTAGACATATAGCTATAAAGATATTTGAGTCATTAGATTAGGTTCTTGGTGATCTTTTCCTGGATGCTCATGATAAACTGCAGAACTTTTCTTCTATTGGAAAGTTTCTTACTTAAGTTGGCCAGTCAGCTAACTCAGACGTGTGTGGCTGCTGCACTGAGCTGTGTGTATGCCATGGCGTCCCATCGGTCCTCTGGGGGAAGGAGCGGGTCTGGATCAGCGACACAGTTACAGCCCACTGCCTCCACAGTGGGCTGGTGAAAAAGAACCAATGACATTTCTATTGAGTTTCCTTAGTCATATATTCACACCATGATGAACTTTATGGTCAACTTCAATAGAGGTCAGTACTGTATTATGTAGTACAGTAGTAATTTGTCCCGTATAAACCTTTCTTTCATAATGGAGTATTATCTTATATCAGTGAACTCTTCTTTACAGGACTGGACATGTCAGGAGTGTTAGCGACCATAGCATGCCGCACCAAGCAGGTTTCTCTGGCTGCTCTAGACCCGACCGTGTTGTTGGCATTTCGTCAGAGTTGGTTACCGGGCTTGAGAGTCGCTAGCTCGGGGGTAAAGTTGTCGCTCACTACTGTACTCCTCCCTAACTCTTCTGTCTGTTAGAGTCTTGTAAACCCTAACCTAACCTAACCTAACCAAACCTAACCTAACCTAACCTAGGACAACAAACACTTGTGTTAGTTAGGTTCTTGTAAAACAATTTGTATTCTCTAATATCCTGTCACCAGACGTCTTATTTAATTCTTCTTCTTCTGGTGTTGGTACTCTTAATGTTGTTTTCCTTTGACTTGTACAGTAATACTAACCTAACCTAACCTAACCGAACCTAACCTAACCTAACCAAACCAAACCGAACCTAACTGAACCTAACCTAACCAAACCTAACCGAACCTAACCAAACCAAACCGAACCTAATTGAACCAAACCTAACCTAACCAAACCAAACCTAACTGAACCTAACCTAACCAAACCTAACCGAACCTAACCGAACCTAACAACATATCCCAAATATTAAAATTGACGTCCCAGTAGTGAAGAAATTAATGCATTGTCTCTAGTACTGTAGAGAGAGAGTGTGTGTGTGTGTGTGTGTGTGTGTGTGTGTGCTTCTCCTACAGATGTATTGTGACACAAGATTATGTCAACTCAGGGTAAGGGAGCTTCTTATTTATGAGTGAGAGGCAGATGTTGAGAAATATGTTGAGGTGTGTTGTGTACAGGCCACCATATTAACCTATTAACTGACTCTTGACCTATTGTGTGTGTGTGGCAGGTGTGGGTGCGGTCGGCAGGAAGCTATAGCTGGTGCACAGGACGGAGATCACCTCGCACATCATATCTTCATGAAGAATATTTTCAGGATATAAGATACTCATTTGTCTCAGGTAATGCCAAGCCTTTATGTTCCCGTGTATAGTTAATCTTTTATATCCCGCATGGCTGTAGTGTGTGGCCTGTACAGTACTACATCAACCTGTAGTAGGGTCAGGCATGGCTGTAGTGTGTGGCCTGTACAGTACTACATCAACCTGTAGTAGGGTCAGGCATGGCTGTAGGGTGTGGCCTGTACAGTACTACATCAACCTGTAGTAGGGTCAGGCATGGCTGTAGGGTGTGGCCTGTACAGTACTACATCAACCTGTAGTAGGGTCAGGCATGGCTGTAGGGTGTGGCCTGTACAGTACTACATCAACCTGTAGTAGGGTCAGGCATGGCTGTAGGGTGTGGCCTGTACAGTACTAGTGGCATGTGGCCTGTACAGTACTAGTGGCATGTGGCCTGTACAGTACTAGTGGCAAGTGTTCCACTGTAAATTACTACTAAGCTGAGCAGTCCCTCACCTGATGACACAAGAAAGGCTTCTACAGTAATTATTTTTCAATCTTTTTGTAGTTTCTTAGATTTTACCAGTTAATGAATTCTTTACACCCCAGTTAACATATACAGGAGGCCCTCGGGTTATGAATGGGTTCCGTTCCTGAGGACGTTCTTAAGTCGGATTTGTATGTAAGTTGGAACACATGCTATGTGCATACAGTCAGTTCTGCTATAACGCGATAGTTGTGTCCTTGCAAAACATCGTGTTATAGAAATTCGCGCAATAGAAATAACAGAGCTTATGGAGAAAATAGGGTTAGGTGCAGATTACTACTCGAAATCGAAAAAAAATTAGTAGCTAGCCTTACACAAAGGATAGCACAGTCTAAATAAATGTTACATTCATATCTAATAATGAAATCATACAATAAATGTAACACTTTACCTTGAAAAAATATGAATATAACTTGATGGGGGAAAAGGGTGATTTTGAGGTTGATAACATCGAGCTTCTCTTCAAGGGTTATAGCCTTTCTTTTACGATCATCACCGGGAATGCGATCACCAGAACGCTTCTTGGAGATATTCTTCATTACCATATTCACAGTTAATACCACAAAATTGGAGAAATAGTAAGCAAAAATCGCGTTACAGCAAACAAGCGTTCGCGTTTTACAAATATCGTTCTTCTATTCATAAATCGCGTTAGAGCCAATTCGCGTTGTCAAAACACGCGTTATAGCAGAACTCACTGTACTGTACTTACAAAACAATGTTTAAAATCCCATTATATCATAGCTTAAGTCATTATATACATCTAAAATCACTTAATTTAAGACAAAAGAATAGAATGACAAAATACTGTAAATGAAAGTAAAAAATAAGTCATTAGGTAAATAAAATGCTGTAAATTTCAAGTTTAACCTCGTTCATATTGGCGGGCATTTGTAAGTCAGGGACCCCCTGTACTGTGTGTAACAGATCAGAATATTTAACTACAAATATTAGGGTTAAGTTTAATGATATAGTACAGTACGGTAGTGAGGCAGCTGTTAGTGATCGTCAGCAGTGAGGCAGGGAGTTTATGAAGGGCTCAACCCAAAAACTTGTTGTCTTGTGAATCCAAAATATGTTTAGTAGTGTGATGTATTGATCCAATAGAGGTTCAGTGGATGAGAAGCTGCTCTACACCAACCCATTAGGCAGTGGGGTCCTCTTATACTGCACCTGGCAGAGTCTCTTCTACTTGGTGGAGTCTCACTTGTCTCTCACCCAGGGCTCTAATGAAGGGTTTTCTGCTTCAGTCTTTCCACTTGTGAATGTAAACAGCCCTTATACATAAGCAACATTTGAGGAAAAGTTACAATTGGCTGTCAAAGTGTACAGTACTGTATACCCACAGGAGATGTTGACCCTTATTACCCCTCACGCTACACACACTTCTCAGAGCCACAAAGCTCATCATGTATCTCAGGTGATAAATGAGTTATGTTGACAGTGATTCTATAGTATTGTTTGGAGTGCAACACTTGGTAAATGATTGATTAAGTTCAAATTTGGTCATTGTAAAACATATAGAAGACCTGATCCTGTGGTTGAATTATGTTGATGTAAAATTCCACATCTTTGAATCTTGTTCCTTGGCTGTACAGTATGTAATGTGAATCACCTTCCTCCATGGTGGGAGAGGATGACCACCACCAAGGTTCCAAGATTGACAGTAAAAGACGTTATTTGGGATGTATTTGGATATTTTTGGTGGTCCAGGAGTTATGAGGCAGCAGTAGCACCACAGGCAGTCATTAAGATGTGACAAATCAGATTTTTGAGTTGAAATTGTGACGCCTTAGGATATTTAAGATTGTCATTTCTGGAGGGTAAAGGAGCACTATTTAAATGTTTAATTAATTACAGGGAGAAGAAGATGGCAGCACAGCAGAACTCGAAACAGCACAGCCAACACCTCTATGCATTTATCAGCAAACAAAACAACACCTACAGAAGCCTCCACAAAATTTCAGTCTTTGAATTCTTCTGAAGTTAAAAGGTTATTTCAGCTGGCTAAACCTGAGAAGTGGACTCTAGCATGTAAGTGTTGTCATTGGTTCTGTGTGAAGATATACATGTTGAGTATGAGAAGATGGTGTAACTCATTATGGTAGAGTGATGTAGTACAGTGGATCAGGTACTTGCTCCACAAACATCACATAGTCATTTCTGCTACAACTCGTGTTTTGTCAACGCGAATTGGTTTTAACGTGATTGATGAATAGGCGAACGCTGTTTGTAAAACATGAACTTTTGCATACAGATGTTGGCTATAACACGATTCCATCCTCAACATTTTATGTGTAGCTTGGCGTGGGGTTATGCAATGTTTACAGTTCACGTTCGACTTCACATGTTCAATTGAATTGTGTTTTTTTTTGAGAGGTACTCTAAATTTTGTTCTTTTTTTTTTTTTTTTTTACAAATTTAGCTTTTACCCATAAATACTGTATGAAAAGAATAAGTTTAAAGAATGTTTCACAGTGAGGACTAATAACAGTTTACACCAGCGCTCTCTGTTTACATCACGTGATCGGTTGAATCGCACGGTTTCTGTCGATTGCTCTGTGAAGTGTCCTCCGTGATTTTCGCTGTTTCTCCAATTTTGTTGTGTTAGCCATGAATATGGAAAGACAAGGTAAGAAGAATGTTTCCAAGAAGCGTTCTGGTGATCGAATTGCCGGTGATGAACGTAAAAGAAAGGCTATAACACTATTGCTGGCACAAGCTTCAGTGCCAGCAAATATGTAAGATCATGGCCAAAGTAACATTTTCTCCATAAACCCTATTATTTGTATTTTGCTAATTTCTACAACGCGAAGTTTCACAAGAACTCACCTATCACGCTGTAGTAGAAATGACTGTACTGTACTGTATTAGTTTTAACGGGAAAATAAGAATTGTAGCTGAAGGCATAAAAATACATTACAAAAATTAATGAATGCAGTGAAGAATTTGTCAAGAGCTGCACTGAACACCATGAGCCATACACTTCACACCATGGGCCACACTTCACACCATGGGCCACACTTCATACCATGAGCCATACACTTCACACCATGAGCCACACTTCACACCATGGGCCACACTTCATACCATGAGCCATACACTTCTACAATTATGAGCCACACCACAATTAAGGGCCATACACACTTCACACCATGAGCCATAAAGCACTTTGGCCACCACAGAGCCACACTTTCACACCCTATGGGCCACACTTTCACCATGGGCCATACACTTCACACCATGAGCCATACACTTCACACCATGGGCCACACTTCACACCATGGGCCACACTTCATACCATGAGCCATACACTTCACACCATGAGCCACACTTCACACCATGGGCCACACTTCATACCATGAGCCATACACTTCACACCATGAGCCACACTTCACACCATGGGCCATACACTTCACACCATGAGCCACACTTCACACCATGGGCCACACTTCACACCATGGGCCACACTTCATACCATGAGCCATACACTTCACACCATGAGCCACACTTCACACCATGGGCCACACTTCATACCATGAGCCATACACTTCACACCATGAGCCACACTTCACACCATGGGCCATACACTTCACACCATGAGCCACACTTCAGAAGCTAAGCCATGGCTTTGTTTACACTAGTATGCACAAATCAGCAGGGTTCTGTGTTGCTGTGACCACCTACACTGCCCCCTCACCTCTTATAGCATGTATAGCATGAGGAGATAGGGATGAGTCAGGTGGATCCCAAACTAACGTTCAAAGACATGATACAGCTCTATAGTAACTCACTAATACACATACTGTACATCTACTAAATTCACTTAACACATTAACCGCGATTTGCCTCACTCTTGGTACAACATACACTCCTTATTGTAGTGTATTGCCCCACTCTTGGTACAGCATACACTCCTTGTTGTCGCGTCTTGTACCACCTGTGACCATACAGGAGAAGCTCCATCGGTGGTGTAAGACACGATCCGTGAAATCAACAACAGTTGTTTGGGGTGATGTACTACGGATGTCACACCAATTTTATCATGTTACTGTCATCTCTCTACCACAGACAGGGTACATATCTCCTCTCTCTTCAGTAGCTGGGGGTATACTGGCATGGTGACATTTTGAAGGTCGGGAGTGCTGGATTTTCAAACGCGGTTAAGATGTTAAACATGATGGTGTGGCATGTCCATGAAATCAGTTCCGAAAAGTTTATCACCACGGCCTTGTGCAACCACTGGCTGAGTCACACACAGCCTCCCTCAAGGCTCACCGACCCGGCTGGGTTAGCAACGCTCCCCCCTCCCTCTGGCACACGAAGCAATGTTGGGTCATTTTATGTTGATGGCTTTTCCACATTCTGTATGTAGGATTTGTGTGTCAAGTAACTGAATAAAAGAAATATGAACATAGTTAAGTTTATCTACTTGAAATTACCAGTTGAAAAATAACCATAACATACCTTCCGCTAAATCTCTCTGGTGCACGGAGAAATGTTTAGATCTATTTTATGTTTTTGACTTAATGATGAGTTGTTGTGGTCCTTTCTGTATCTAGGAGTGTGACAGATTGGGTGGACTGGCCTCTCTATACTGGTAATGGACTTACTGCTGAATTTTCCTGTGTACGCCCGGCACAACCCACGTTAAAGCAAATCTTAGCCCCAGGTTAAGTGATACCAGGTAGTAATTAAAATACCGTGCTCGAGTGGATCCGCCTTGAACAAACCATTCTTAAGTGAGGGAACAGTGTATTTAAAGAATCCAACGAGATATTACGGTATTTAAATGTAAATGTCATCCTTCTGTTCATATGTGAATGTTTTAGTAAAAGAAATGAAACAATTACAGAAAATGTTAGTGTTGCAGCTGTGTGTTTGGTGTACCTAGGTTCTAACTGTATACAGTACAGTAGTCCCTCACCAACCCTGTGAGTTAGCTTCCTGTAAACCCTGTGGTTGGCAAGACTTATGGGGAATAGGGGGTCAGGTTCCATGGCTGTGGATAACACTCGTCAAAGCCTCATTAAGTTGTCTTTTCCTTCACTAAACAATACTTGTGTTGTACTTTTAAATAAATTTGAGTGAAATACATATAAAATAGCTTAATATAAATTAAGTAGTAGTAATATAAATTTTACAGTCCATCTCCGTGAAGATGACGTATTGCTACGGAATGAGAAAAAATGAACAACATATGTGTGTGTGTGTCACTACACCCCAAGGTAATTCACTGCACTACACCCCAAAGTGATTCACTGCACCACACCCCAAAGTAATTCACTGCACTACACCCCAAAGTAATTCACTGCACTACACCCCAAAGTAATTCACTGCACTACACCCCAAAGTAATTCACTGCACTACACCCCAAAGTAATTCACTGCACCACACCCCAAAGCAATTCACTGCACTACACCCCAAAGTGATTCACTGCACCACACCCAAAGTAATTCACTGCACCACACCCCAAAGTAATTCAATGCACCACACCCAAAGCAATTCAATGCACCACACCCCAAAGTAACCACTGCACCACACCCCAAAGCACTCCACTGCACCACACCCCAGCACCACGTGCACCACCCCAGCACTCCACTGCACCACACCCCAAAGTAATTCACTGCACCACACCCCAAAGTAATTCACTGCACCACACCCCAAAGTAATTCACTGCACCACACCCCAAAGTAATTCACTGAACCACACCCCAAAGCACTACTGCACCACACCCCAGCACACTGCACCACACCCCAAAGTGGCTCAGAATGCACCACACCCCAAAAGTGATTCACTGCACCACACCCTCAAAGTAATTCACTGCACCACACCCCAAAGTAATTCACTGCACCAAGCCATCTTCAAAAGTAACTACTGCACTACACCCTGGCAAAGCACCACTGCACCACACCCTGTGCACCACTGCACCACACCCCAAAGTAATTCACTGCACCACACCAGCACCACTGCACTGCAGCTCCTCAAAGTAATTCACTGCACCACACCCCAAAGTACCACTGCACCACACCCCAAAGCACCACTGCACCACACCCCAAAGTAATTCACTGCACCACCACCCCAGTGCACCATTGCACCACACCCCAAAGTATTCACTGCATTACACCTCAAAGCAATTCACTGCACCACACCCCAAAGTAATTCACTGCATCTTCTTCCCAAAGTAATTCACTGCACCACACCCCCAAAGTAATTCACTGCACCCGACACCCCAAAGTAATTACTGCACCACACCCCAAAGTAATTCACTGCACTACACCCCAAAGTAATTCACTGCACTACACCCCAAAGTAATTCACTGCACCACACCCCAAAGTAATTCACTGCACTACACCCCAAAGTAATTCACTGCACCACACCCCAAAGTAATTCACTGCACCACACCCCAAAGTAATTCACTGCACCACACCCCAAAGTAATTCACTGCACCACACCCCAAAGTAATTCACTGCACCACACCCCGAAGTAATTCACTGCACCACACCCCAGGCATTTCTATTTTCAGGGCCGGATTCAGGAGTGGGCAAAGTGGGCAGCTGCCCAGGAGCCTCCACAATCTGGGGGCCTCCACATGTGCGGTAGTAGCTATATCAGGGCTGGTCGACTTGAAACCACATGAATGACTCCAATCATGTCTCACTTTTGTGTGTGTGTGTTGGGAATTTGTACAGTATCAATAAATATACAGTTAATTAAAAATTACTCAATGTTCTAATTTCCTCAATATAACTGCATATGGCTTCAAAATTCTCCAAAGAAGTGTTCAAATTTCAAAATTTTCCCGGGGGGCTTACAGCGCCCCCCGGAACTCCCATATGTTTAGGCTCGCTTCACTCGCCACCCCACCCTCTTGGGAAGTTATAATGAGGGGGGCCTCCACAAAGAGGCTGCCCATGGACCTCCACAGGTCTAAATCCGGCACTGTCTATTTTAGTGACGCTTCATTTGCAAGGTGTTTTAGTTGTCCTGTGAACCAACAGTGGTGAGCTGGTTAACCACTTGTGGCAAATTTACCTCACCAACTGTTTGCTTATACAGTATAGCATATTATTTTTATTTTCCATCCTTCCTTCCTTCTCTTCTGCAACCTTAACTCTTGATTGATTCTTGTAAACTCATAAGTAATATCTCCTTCAGCCTGAATCCCTCTCACCCGGAACTCTCCGATAACTGGAATTGAAATTTTCTCGGAAAACCATTCCCAGAGCCGGAATTTTCCAGAAAATTCCGGCTTTTGGGACAATTTTCCAAGAGGCACATTTGCTGGAAAATTCCAAGAGAATTTTCCCAGTACCCGGAAAATTCCAGGGACGAGGGATTATTTCCAGCTTTAAGAGAGTCGTCTCGTTACCCAGAAATTTCTCTTTTCTGCACCAATTGTTACGGTTAACAGAGATTTCACGACGGCAAAACAGAACACTGATGTTAATGTATATCTGCTGGGATGACAGACAGTGAAACACAATACTTTTTTTTAAGGGCATTAGCCCACCCAGGCACAGGTCATTTTTAATGACCCCACATCAAGGCCCGGGGGGCAAAGATATAATATAAAATAATAATAAAAATAATTATGATGATGATGATGGTGATGATGATGATAATAATAATAGTAAGAAAATTAATAAAAATATATTAAATAAATAACAATTATAATAAAAGAAAATAATACTACTACAGGTTGTACCTCTCTAGTCCGGCAACCTCGGGACCTGACCGGTGCCGGACCATGGAAATTCACCCTTTTCCTGGATAGATAGTGACTTGTGCTTATGCCTGGAAGCACTAGCACCACTTTCTCTGCATCATGGTCTCTTTGAAGACATATTGAAGGGTTAAATGTCGTATAGTAGCTTCTCAAATTTCGCGAGTTTTTAATTCTTAACGTATTTTATTGGAACACAAAAAATAAATAAATAAAAATTTTGACGGCGGAAACTTGAATTTCGACGGGTTTGAACGGCCCGCCAACGTGCAGACGACGTGCATAATCGTGTAAACAGCGTCATTTCTCTTATGTACAAAAGATTCATTATTGTTTATTACTGAATGTCTTTTTTATTGAATTAATGTTTATGTGTGCAAAATGAGCAATACAATTCATTAATAATACGTAGAATATTAAAACACACGAGGAAATGAGACAGCATTGTTTTCGTTGATTACAAAACCAGTGACTGACTGGTTCTACATATAAAACTGAAGAAAATAAGACCTTGGTTGTAGCTGTAGTAAAATTAATATGGTTGTTTTAAGTAATGTTATTTAATGTTAATAAATGGAACAATAGAAGTAGCTAACGATAATGGTAAAGAAAAAGAGAGATCGCATATGTAAGTGCTCATGCGCACACGTGAAAACATATCGTCATTACTTTACATAAGAATATGAAAGCAACACTTATTTACTGTTCATATATATTTTAATTAATGTTTCTGAATTTGTTTTTATTGAATTAATGTACGTGTGTGCAAAATTAACAATACAATTTATTAATAATACGTGGAATATTAGAGGAGACGAGACGGCTGCCGGCATTGTTTATGTTAAAGCTTACGAAACCAGTGACTGATTGGTTCTACATATAAAACTGAAGAAAATAAGACCCTGAGTTTAGCTGTAGTAAAATTAATGTAAAAAATGAATATGGTTGCTTGAAGTACCTGTAATGTTATTTAATGTTAATAAATGGAACAATATAAGTAGCTAACCATTAATGGTAAAAAAAAAAGTGAGACTGCTCGTATGTAAGTGCGCACATGTGAAAATATATCGTCATTACTCTACATAAGAATATGAAAGCAACACTTATTTACTGCTCATATATATTGAAGGGTTAAATGTTGTACTCTGTATAGACAAGCAGAGAGAGAGAGCAGCCGAACTGCCGGATGTAAACAAACCTTAATTTCCCGCGGCTTTTTTTTTTAAGGGGATTAGCCCACCCGGGAATAGGTCACTGACCCACATTAGGGCCTGAGGGGCAAAAATTTAATACTCTTGTAATAATAATAATAATTCAGATAAGAAAAAATAAATAAAAAAAAGCTGCCTATCTACCTATTGGACAAACTAAAATCGTTCCGGACCACGGGAGTTTCCGGACCACAGAATGCCGGACTAGAGAGGTACAACCTGTACTACTACTACTAATAATGATTACAGTCAACCTCACTTTCTGGTTACCCGCGAACAGGTCTTACTCAGGTGTGTGCCCTTTTGCGTGGCTGGGGTCCTCTCGCCCGGCGCCATTGGATCTAAACTTCCGCCATTGGATCTAAACCTCCCGCCATGTTGGGTAAGCGGTGCGAGTAGGTTTGCGCAGTGTATGTCTTTGTTGCGTTATCGGTGACGTCATATGACGTATCGGACTGTGATTGGGCCAAGCATCCTTACCTCCCTCCCCTCTAGCTGTGATTGGTTTAATGTACTATGACGTGCCCCGCCGCGGGAGCGTTCAAGACCCTTGACCTACCCACGTCAGTTACACCCCTCCCGGCTACACCGTGTATATCGGTATCCATTGTTCCATAAGAATGGCTGCCACCACCACAAACAAACCTTGCATTATCTGGACCCAGCCGCCCTAAGCCAAAGAAGATATGACGTTCCTTAAGCTACGAAATTAAGTACAAGATCATACAAGAGTTGGAGAAAGGAACAAGACAGGTTGATCTCGCGCGCCAGCGTGGTGTTAACGAATCAACTATCAGGACAATTAAGAAGGATGCAGCCAAGATAAAGGAGCACATGAACATCACAAAGTCTACAGGTGCTTCTATCATCAAGTATTGCCACAACCAGGTGCTTCTCAAGATGGAGAAATTACTTGTGAGCTACTTGGTTCGTCAGGCGCGACGGAACATGGCGGTGGACACGCGCTCAGTTAAGGAGTACGCACGTGAACTGTATGCTGCAGTGTCACGTAAGATGGGAATTGCAGAGCCCAAACCCTTTAATGCTTCCTCTGGGTGGTTGCAGAGGTTTAAGAAGAGGAACAAGATCACCAATATTAACATTGGTGGTGAAGGAGCTAGTGCTGACTGTGTTGTGGCTAGGGAATTTCCTCCATTTTTACGTGAGATTATGGAGGAAGGACAGTACACCGACGACCAGGTGTTTAACATGGACGAATCTGGTCTTTTTGGGAAAAAGCTACCTTCCAAGACCTTCGTTGTGAAGAATGCCAGCAAGTGTCGGGGCCGGAAGTTGCAGAAGGAGCGCATCACCGTCCTGTTTACCACCAATGCCTGCGGTACCTGTAAGCTCAAGTTATCGGTGATCCACACAGCACGCAAGCCGCACGCCTACAAGAGCATGAACATGACCAAGCTAAATGTCCACTGGCTGACCGCACGTAAGGCGTGGATGTTCTCTACTCTGTCCCTCTCCTGGTTTGATGGCTGTTTCGTTCCTGACGTTAAGAAATTCTGTGAGCAACACAATGTTCCGTTCAAGATTTTGTTGCTGCTTGACAACGCACCAGGGCACTCACCCCTACTGTTAGATTGTCACCCCAACGTAAAAGTGGTCTTCCTTCCTCCCAACGCTACGTCTATAATACAGCCCATGGACCAAGAATTGATGTGTAATGTGAAAGCTGCATTCTCTGCCAAGAAATTTAAGCTCCTGAACGACTACACCAACACCAAGGATGAGTTGCGTAACCTGAGTGACACCGATAAGAAGAGCGAAGACGACGGGGAACAACAGTTGGCAGAGCAAGAAGTACTTGTGAAACAATTTTGGAGAAAATTCAACGTCAAGAAAGCTATGAATTTCTTGGTGGAGGCATGGGATCAGCTGTCTGTAGCAACTGTTCGTCACGCATGGAGACATGTGTTGCAAGGTATTCCAGGTGGGAGGCAGAGTAAATCTGTGACTGGTGAGGTTCAGACTGTTGCAGTAGCAGTGGACCTTGCCAGAGAAGCTGCGCAGAGTGTTACAGCTGCAGGCTTCTCCGAGACCACCAACGACGACATCCTGGAGGTGATAAGGGATCCTGATGTGACTACCGACGAGATGCTAGATGATGATGACGTCAGTGAAGAGGCAGGTGGTGCGTCATCCCAAGAAGAACAACACTTATCCCATAGTAATGTTAGGGGTGCCATCGAGTGTATTGAGAAAGTCAAGCTCCTCCTTTCCGACGACCCTGACGATAACCGGTACGAAATCTTCACTACCCAGCTGTTGCAGACTATGGAGCCCTACATCAAGGTGTATCACGACAACATAAACACCAGCCGTCAGCAAAGCATAACCGAGTTCTTCGCCCGCAACCCACCACAGCCAGCCCAAGCCAGTGATAGTGACAGAGACAGTGATGATGACTTTGAGGGATTTGTCAGGGAGGCACTAGTAAGTGTGGATGACAGTGATGGTGACTCACCTGAGGGCCAGTAGCCTGCCCTCTGCCTCGGAACCAGCCTCCATTCCCTTATGCCGACCCATCTCTTCTACTAACGTAAGTGTTAACCCCAACCTTGTTTTTTTCTAACCTAACCTTCAGTTTATTGACTGTTCCCTTCTATATTATGTGTGGGTGAATACCATCATAAAGTTAAGATGTTATTTTTAGTAAAACGTACGTATTGTGTCGGGAAAATGTGGAGTTTGGGGGTCGGCCCGGTCTCTTTTTCAATTAATCCCATAAGTTATGTTGTTCACTTTACGCGGTTTTCGTTTTACGCGGTACCCCGTGGGATCAATTGACCGCGTAAATCAGGGTATCACTGTAATAATGATAATACCCCCTGTAATAATAAAGAGCCATAAATAAATACAAAAACAAAAAATTTAAAGTTCAATAGTGAGAAACAATATAAGTACAGTGTGTTGTGTTGTGTTGTGTTGTCAATGGTAAGAGAAACAATTGAGACCCTGCAATTATGTGTAAATGAGGCAGAAAGTCAGATCATCAACCTGGGACTTGGTCACATATGGCAGCAGGGTCCACCATTAGACAACATATCTCTTTATTATTTCAGGTGCAATTGGGCTTCTGGCAGTATCCAGCACGATAACGATGGCTGTTCCCTTCGCCCTCGGTCACGTCATCGATATTATTTACACGGCGGACGCGGTGGACATTAAGCAGAATCTACAGCGCGTCTGTCTTGTCCTGAGTGGCGTCTTCCTCACTGGTGCTGCTGCCAACTTTGGGAGAGTTTATCTGATGAATGTTGCAGGTGGGTGAACTGTCCTGCTTGTTGATGTTGGAATGTTTATAACACACACACACACACACACACACACACACACTTCCTTCAGCCTTCATAGGGTAAGGACGTGTGTAGTCGGCGCTGTCCGTTAACGCGGCCGTGATCTCTTGACCATGGAGACAGCTGCCAACCCGGTCTGTCGGGTCCTCCCCTTCCCCATCTCCTCCTTCCCATCTGGATTTATCAACATCCTCACACCAACAGTACAGTGCAAAGATTGACGCTCAACCCACAAGAGAGTGTTAACCATGTGTTGTGTTAGTCCTGGAGATCACCAGTAAGTTGGACAGTAACCTCACATATACCCTGACAGTCCACCTTTGGAGATGTCACTACGTCTGTGGTGGGCCGTAAGATGAGGTAAATAGTTGTGTGTGTCGACGCCTCTATAATGGACATACGTCATCTTCCAGGCCAACGTATAACGCGCACTCTACGGTCGTCGGTGTTTGCAGCCATCGTGAAACAGGAGATCGGTTTCTTCGACGTTAACAAGACTGGGGAGCTGATCAACAGACTGTCTGCGGACACGTCCCTAGTCTCACAGTCGGTCACCATGAATATCTCGGATGGTCTCAGGTCCACTGCCATGGCTCTAGCTGGTGTTGGCATGATGGTAAGTGTCTCCTGTGTCTGTGAGTCGGCTGGTTGACTGCCCGGATAAACTGTGTAGAAGGAAACATTTTTTGTACCTAAAATACTGTAGTATGTGCTATTATATTTTATGATATATTATGCATCAAATTTATTGTTTATCAATGACAATGAATATAGCAGCTCATGCCTGTTGCCTGCATTATACAAGCTTACAATTGTAGACGATTTTGGAGGAGTTTTTATTTTTATTGTTATTATTTCATTTTGGTGCCGGTTGGGCTCGGGATAACCGGGATGCTACTGTATAAAGATTTAATTGGATTTTTTTTTTTATTATATGTTTTCAGTTCTACATGTCGATCGAGTTAGCCGTGGTTGGCCTGGGCATCGTCCCCCCAGTGGCGCTGATGGCCGTGTGGTATGGCCGCTATGTCCGCAACATAACCAAAGGTGTACAGGTGAGCAACAGTAACATGTCTGGGTACTTGTTAAGAATTTTGCTGCTATGTACTCGTGTTTTAACCCTTTGAGGATGATGTTTTAACCCTTTGAGGATGATGTCTTAACCCTTTGAGGATGATGTCTTAACCCTTTGAGGATGATGTTTTAACCCTTTGAGGATGATGTTTAAACCCTTTGAGGATGATGTTTTAACCCTTAGAGGATGGTGTTTTAACCCTTTGAGGAAAGTATTTTAACCCTTTGAGGATAGTGTTTTAACCCTTTGAGGACAGTGTTTTAACCCTACAGGTCTCAAAGGTTTAACAATATAATTTAATACCTATTCTTTACAGCCTTAGACTAATGTAATTATTTATATTTTTGTATTAACAACCATTTTGTATTTCTTTGTTGCATTACATTTTTTACAAGATGTTGAATGCTGTACTGTACTGTATAGTCATGAGAGGAATCATCATCATCACAGCCATTTTATCATTGTTGTAGTAGAGTCTATAAATAAGTCCATCATTTCAGGACACTCTTGCACAATCAACACAAGTGGCAGAAGAAAGAATTGCCAACATCCGCACTGTGAGGTCATTTGCCCAAGAGCCTCAGGAGGTCAGGAGGTATGACACAAATATTGACAATGTTCTCCGTATGACTTTTAAAGAATCTCTTGCAAGAGGAATTTTCTTCGGCCTGGTAATATGTGGTTTGGTTTTTGGTTTTGTGTGTGTGTGTGTGTGTTTGTAATAATAATAATAACAATAATTAACGGTTTATTGAAAAAGTCGGCAGCCCGAAGGCTGAAAATATACATTGGACAAAAGTGACTTATTACATACAAAGACATGGGGTGGGTGGGTCGTTTAACAAAAGCTTTCATTACTGAAAGAAGAAGGAACATGAATTGAACATACAAATTATTGTAGTTTACAGTTCATGGCCCGGGCCTGGGCTGGTCATGGAGACACCAAGTGGTGTGGTGTTCACGTGGTGTAGTAACTCGTCCTCGGGTGTTGATATGAAGGACCTAAAGTGGTCTTGGAGACACCAGGTGGTGTGGTGTGGTGTTCACGTGGTGCAGTAACTCGTCAGAGAGAGAGAGAGATATATATATATATATATATAATTCTGTTATTTTATTTACACGTTTCACCTTATACGCGGACCTCCATGGGTTTAATTAGGCTCGTAAACCCAGACTATACTGTATAGTTTTTGTTTTTCATTAATTGTATTGTTTGGGGCAAAAGAGGGTAAATAGTCACACTGAAAAGGTCACACTGGGGAACACATCTCATTATTATTGCTTTATTTTAATGGTCATTAATGATACGATGATTCACCTTACACTGTAATGTTGGAGGACACATTACCGTCGTACTGTACTGTACTGTATACTATAGAATACATTACAGTAGAACGTCGATATAATGCGAGATAGGTTTCATGAAGTATATTGTATGCAGTACAGTACAGTATTTTCTTTATTTTTTCGCCTCATTACAGTATTGTCCTGATGCACACTTGGAGCACACAATCCCCAGTTTTTCTGACCTGCCTCCCAAATTTTATCCAGTGAGTCAAAGTTTACTAAACTGAAAATTGGTGACCATTAAATGAAAAAGTGTTTTAAAATTTTTAAATTACGAAACAAAAAAATCACTAAGTGAACAATCGTTAAATGAAGGACACCTGTAATTAGAACTGATTTTATAGACATCAGTACAGTACAGTAAAGCCTCCGATAACAACGGTTCGACCAACAACTTTTCATATTTAAGACCCGAGTTAATTTAGGACCCAATTCAATTTACGTCCTTATTTCATTCGTATTTACGACCAAAATATAATAAAAATAAAATAAAATTACGTTTTCATATAAATAATAACTAAATCCCAATATGTATTATAAAAAAGTAAAATAAAATCTGTAAAAAAAATGAAGAGCTCCTTGCTCAAAGAAGCTGCCTTGCTAATGAGTGGTAAACAACAGTCAGAGCTTGGCGGGCCTCTTGTTTTCACGCATCTGGAACAAGAACTGGAGAAACACTTTCAGGTTTCTTACAGCATTTTTGCATCCCTATTCAACATGAGCAAGAGAGCAAGTGATGGTAGTGTTGTTTCAAAAGCTAATAGAAAGTGTCTAACCTTAGCCGAGAAACTAGATGTGTTAAAACAATATGAAAAAGGTGAGAGGTCTGTGTATATTATATGGAGCAAGCAATGAACATATTTTCTGAAGTGGATCCATTAACAGAAAAAAGCATTAAAAGTCTATAAAGAATTGAGTCCCCATCATTATACTGTGTCAAATATTTTGTTTAAGGATCTTTTATTGAAACAATCTTATAGAGAATTTATTCAGGATCATTATGGTATCAACTTCATCTCTGTAACACTATTACAACAGATGCTGTGATTAAGAGTTTATACACGTTTTTATTAGTTGTCAATATTTTCCTTCGTGCCTGTGGTATAAATGTAATGGGCGAGTGTTTGCTCCTCCGAGATGAGATGCGCAGCTTAGACTCTTAGGAAAACTTTCCCCAGCGCCCAGAAACATTCTGGGGATGTGGGATAGTGTCTATCCATGCCAGATGTATACTGTAGTTTAGACTCTTGGAAACTTATCCCAGTACAGTACAGGTACCCGGAAAAGTTGCGGGGATTTGGGATTTTTCCGGGTTTGAGAGATTCATCTCATTACCCAGAAATCTCTCTTTCCCGGAAGAGCCGTGCACCAGTTGTTGTGGGTGGTGGGGAGATTACCGTATGTACAGAAAAAACCAAACATGATCTGTGGACTTGCTACAAAAATGTTCTCAGTTCAGTTGGCTGCTGATTCAGATTATCCTGGCAGTACAGTACAGTATATATATTAGATGCCCTGACAGGTAATGTACTGGCCTCCTGTTAGAAGACTGTTAGACTGTGCTGATATGTTATTGTGACCCATAACACACCATAACATAGTGGCGACCCGTGGAGTAATGGTCGGTATGCTCGCCTCGCAAGCGAGTGGACCCAGGTTTAATTCCCGGGCAGGGTGAAACTATGGGCAAGTTTCTTTATACCAGTGGCCTCTGTCTACCCAGCAGTAATTGGGAATATGGATGTTAATCGATTTGTGGATCATGTTCCGGGGTAATGGTTAGTTGGTGCAGTTGGCGAGTTGTTCGGTCTTCTCGGACTATTCCTTGACACTGGGTCACGCAGCTCGTTAACTCAGGGTGTGGTTGTTGTGTTGGCGACACCTTCTACACCTTAAACAAATTCACGCCTGGGTGGCCCTTGGGCCGGCCATCCTCGTTACACGAGGTGCAACTATTATTATATTGTGACACAGTTAGATATGCCAGTAAACAGCTTATGTGGATGACAGATTTATGTATTATTTTAAGCTAGAAGTTGTGAGGCCATCAACAGGTCAATTTTGGGGGAGGTATTTTCAAATATATCCCCCCCCCCCACACCTGACACTAAATGTTACCTAAGTATTAATGTGTACTAGAACAGCTGTAACAAACCATTTTATTCTTTGTGTGTGTGCGTGCGTGCGTGCGTGCGTGCGTGCGTGCGTGCTAAGAAAGGAGTTGCATTAGTGTGTATTAAACAATCATTCCAGACTGGGCTGAGTGGCAACATCATCATACTCTCTGTCCTGTACTATGGTGGAGGTCTGGTGACAGAGTCGGCCCTCACCATAGGGCAGCTCTCGTCGTTCCTCCTGTATGCTGCATATGTCGGCATCGCCATGGGTGGAGTGTCTTCATTCTACTCGGAAATGAATCGTGGTCTTGGGGCGTCCACGAGGCTGTTTGAGTTGATGGAACGTACGCCAACGATCCCAGTCCACGGAGGTACATCATCTTTCCCTAGTTGTGTTTGTGTGATATTGTGTGGCCAGTTGTTATAGTGTAGCACAGTAATGTTGTGTGGTGAGGCTGCTTTCTTTTGAACTGTTGGCTGACTTGAGGTTCACTGAGGATTTGGTTTCATAAAATCAAGTTGTTCAGTTCTGCTTCATTAGCTCACATGCCAGTTAACCTTTCTCATCTGGAAGAGGAGTTAACACCCCTGTCTGTCAGTCACCCACCAGACCATCAGCACACACATGTCTCCTCTTAGTGAGTCTCTGGGGTCTGGTGATAGCTATAGTATATAGTTGGATAAGGATTGAGGATTCCCTGTTTTATTTGCATTATTTTTTGTGGCTTGAAAGACGCTGCAATGCCAGATATTTTACACAGTCAATCAGTCAGTCTACTTTGTCTTGGAACTTGACACAGTGGTTATCACGGTCTCCTGAGAGGTCAAGAGAATTAAGATGAATTGTGTTTGTGTTAATGTCTTATTGATAACCTTAAAAAAATACTGATGACAGCCAGTAAGTGAGGCCGAGATCATTATCTCAGCAGCTGTGGTCATTACTGCAGTGCTCAGTAGTCCAACTAGTTGAAACCTAATTAAGGCTTTACTGTAAGAGCTCTGTTTCACCTCCTTCCATTAGTCACACATTAAGGCTTTACTGTAAGAGCTCTGTTTCACCTCCTTTTGTTAGTCACACATTAAGGCTTTACTGTAAGAGCTCTGTTTCACCTCCTTCTGTTAGTCACACATTAAGGCTTTACTGTAAGAGCTCTGTTTCACCTCCTTCCATTAGTCACACATTAAGGCTTTACTGTAAGAGCTCTGTTTCACCTCCTTCCGTTAGTCACACATTAAGGCTTTACTGTAAGAGCTCTGTTTCACCTCCTTCCGTTAGTCACACATTAAGGCTTTACTGTAAGAGCTCTGTTTCACCTCCTTCCGTTAGTCACACATTAAGGCTTTACTGTAAGAGCTCTGTTTCACCTCCTTCCGTTAGTCACACATTAAGGCTTTACTGTAAGAGCTCTGTTTCACCTCCTTCCGTTAGTCACACATTAAGGCTTTACTGTAAGAGCTCTGTTTCACCTCCTTCCATTAGTCACACATTAAGGCTTTACTGTAAGAGCTCTGTTTCACCTCCTTCGTTAGTCACACATTAAGGCTTTACTGTAAGAGCTCTGTTTCACCTCCTTCCGTTAGTCACACATTAAGGCTTTACTGTAAGAGCTCTGTTTCACCTCCTTCCGTTAGTCACACATTAAGGCTTTACTGTAAGAGCTCTGTTTCACCTCCTTCCGTTAGTCACACATTAAGGCTTTACTGTAAGAGCTCTGTTTCACCTCCTTCCGTTAGTCACACATTAAGGCTTTACTGTAAGAGCTCTGTTTCACCTCCTTCCGTTAGTCACACATTAAGGCTTTACTGTAAGAGCTCTGTTTCACCTCCTTCCGTTAGTCACACATTAAGGCTTTACTGTAAGAGCTCTGTTTCACCTCCTTCCGTTAGTCACACATTAAGGCTTTACTGTAAGAGCTCTGTTTCACCTCCTTCCGTTAGTCACACATTAAGGCTTTACTGTAAGAGCTCTGTTTCACCTCCTTCCGTTAGTCACACATTAAGGCTTTACTGTAAGAGCTCTGTTTCACCTCCTTCTGTTAGTCACACATTAAGGCTTTACTGTAAGAGCTCTGTTTCACCTCCTTCCGTTAGTCACACATTAAGGCTTTACTGTAAGAGCTCTGTTTCACCTCCTTCCGTTAGTCACACATTAAGGCTTTACTGTAAGAGCTCTGTTTCACCTCCTTCCGTTAGTCACACATTAAGGCTTTACTGTAAGAGCTCTGTTTCACCTCCTTCCGTTAGTCACACATTAAGGCTTTACTGTAAGAGCTCTGTTTCACCTCCTTCCGTTAGTCACACATTAAGGCTTTACTGTAAGAGCTCTGTTTCACCTCCTTCCGTTAGTCACACATTAAGGCTTTACTGTAAGAGCTCTGTTTCACCTCCTTCCGTTAGTCACACATTAAGGCTTTACTGTAAGAGCTCTGTTTCACCTCCTTCCATTAGTCACACATTAAGGCTTTACTGTAAGAGCTCTGTTTCACCTCCTTCCGTTAGTCACACATTAAGGCTTTACTGTAAGAGCTCTGTTTCACCTCCTTCCGTTAGTCACACATTAAGGCTTTACTGTAAGAGCTCTGTTTCACCTCCTTCCGTTAGTCACACATTAAGGCTTTACTGTAAGAGCTCTGTTTCACCTCCTTCCGTTAGTCACACATTAAGGCTTTACTGTAAGAGCTCTGTTTCACCTCCTTCCGTTAGTCACACATTAAGGCTTTACTGTAAGAGCTCTGTTTCACCTCCTTCCGTTAGTCACATTAAGGCTTTTACTGTGAGCCTCTGTTTCACCTCCTTCCTTGGTCACATTAAGGCTTTTACTGTGAGCTCTGTTTCTGCCTTCCATTAGTCACACATTAAGGCTTTGCCAAGGCTCTGTTTCACCTCCTTCTGTTAGTCACACATTAAGGCTTTACCAGCCAAGAGCTCTGTTTCCTCCTTCTGTTAGTCACACATTAAGGCTTTTACTGTAGAGCTCTGTTCCTTCCGTTAGTCACATTAAGGCTTTACTGTAAGAGCTCTGTTTCACCTCCTTCTGTTAGTCACACATTAAGGCTTTCCTGCTGCAGGCTCTGTTCCTCCTTCCGTGTGATCACGATAAGGGCTTCTGTAGAGCTCTGTTTCACCTCCTTCCATTAGTCACACATTAAGGCTTTACTGTGAGCTCTGTTTCACCTCCTTCCGTTAGTCACACATTAAGGCTTTACTGTGAAGCTCTGTTTCACCTCCTTCCAGTTAGTCACACATTAGGCTTTACTGCTTGAGCTCTGTTTCACCTCCTTCAAGCTTAGTCACACATTCTGACTTTATAGAGCTCTGTTTCCTCCTTCGTTAGTCACACATTAAAGGCTTTACTACCAGAGCTCTGCTTCACCTCCTTCCATTAGTCACACATCAAACTTTCCAGCCAGAGCTCTGTTTCACCTCCTTCTGTTAGTCCCTACACATTAGGCTTTACTGTAAGGCTCTGTTTTCACCTCCTTTCCGTTAGTCACACATTAAGGCTTTACTGCCAAACTCTGTTTCACCTCCTTCCGTTAGTCACACATTAAGACTTTACTGTAGAGCTCTGTTTCCTCCTTCTATTAGTCACACATTAAGGCTTTACTGTAAGAGCTCTGTTTCACCTCCTTCCATTAGTCACACATTAAGGCTTTACTGTAAGAGCTCTGTTTCACCTCCTTCTGTTAGTCACACATTGAGCTTTACTGCTCAGAGCTCTGTTTCACCTCCTTCCGTAGTCACACATTAAGGCTTTACTGTAAAATATAACTCACCTCCTTTCATTAGTCACACGTGGCTTTGCCAGGCTCTGTTGCCTCCTTCCATTAGTCACACATTAAGGCTTTACTGTGAAACTCTGTTTCACCTCCTTCCATTAGTCACACATTAAGGCTTTACTGTAAGGCCTCTGTTTCACCTCCTTCCGTTAGTCACACATTGAGGCTTTGCTGCCAGGCTCTTTCATTTCACCTCCTTCCATTAGTCACATTAAGGCTTTACTGTAGGCTCTGTTTCCACCTCCTTCATTAAGTCTTTTTACATTAAGGCTTCCTGTAAGGCTCCTGTTTCACCTCCTTCCGTTAGTCACACATTAAGGCTTCCTGTAGGCTCTGTTTCACCCCTCCTTCCGTTAGTCACACATTAAGGCTTTACTGTGAAACTCTGTTTCACCCTCCTTCCGTTAGTCACACATTAAGGCTTTACTGTGACTCTGTTTCACCTCTTCGTTAGTCACACATTAAAGGCTTTACTGTAAGAGCTCTGTTTTTCACTTCCTTCCGTTAGTCACACATTAAGGCTTTACTGTGTAGAGCTCTGTTTCACCTCCTTCCATTAGTCACATTAAGGCTTTTTACTGCCCAAACTCTGTTTCCTCTTCGTTAGTCACACATTAAGCTTTACTGTAAAACTCTGTTTCACCTCCTTCCGTTAGTCTTACATTAAGGCTTTACTGTGAAACTCTGTTTCACCTCTTCCATTAGTCACATTAAGGCTTTACTGTGAAGCTGTTTCTACCTCCTTCCGTTAGTCACATTAAAGGCTTTACTGTAGGCTCTGTTTCACCTCCTTCATATTAGTCACACATTAAGGCTTTACTGTAAGAGCTCTGTTCACCTCATTCATTAATTCACACATTAAAGGCTTTCATAGGCTCTGTTTCCTCCTTCCGTTAGTCACACATTAAGGCTTTACTGCTTGAAATATTTCCTCCTTCCATTGGTCACACATTAAAACTTTACTGTAGGCTCTGTTTCACCTCCTTCCGTTAGTCACATTAAGAGCTTTACTGTGGGCTCTGTTTTACCTCCTTCTGTTAGTCACATTAAGGCTTCTGTAAAGAAACTCTGCTGTTTCACCTCCTTCTGTTAGTCACATTACAAAGGCTTTACTGTCTGTTTCACCTCCTTCTACCCAGTCACACATTAAGAGCTTTACTGTTGAAACTCATTTCACCTCCTTCTGTTAGTCACATTAAAGCTTCTACTGTAAGGCTCTGTTTTTCACCTCCTTCCATTAGTCACATTAGGCTTTGAAACTCTATTCCTCATAGTTAGTCACATTAGGCTTTCTTAGAGTCTGTTTCACCTCCTTCGTTAGTCACATTAAGGCTTCACTGTAGAGCTCTGTTTCACCTCCTTCTAGATTAGTCACACATTAAGGCTTTACTGTGAAGCTCTGTTTCACCCTCCTTCCGTTAGTCACACGGTAAGGCTTTACTGCTTGAAACTCTGTTTCTGCCTCCTTCCGTTAGTCACATTAAAGAGCTTTACTGTAAAGCTCTGTTTTTCACCTCCTTCCGTTAGTCACACATTAAAACTTTACTGTGAAACTCTGTTCACCTCCTTCCGTGGTCACACATTAGGCTTTACTGTAAAATACTGTTTCACCTCCTTCCGTTAGTCACACGGTAAGGCTTTACTGTAAGAGCTCTGTTTCACCTCCTTCCGTAGTCACACGTGGGCTTTGCTGCTGAGCTCTGTTTCACCTCCTTTAGTTAGTCACACATTAGGCTTTCTGCAGAGCTCTGTTTCTACCCTCCTTCAAATTAGTCACATTAAAACTACTGTGAAACTCTGTTTCACCTCCTTCCGTAGTCACACATTAAGGCTTTACTGCTGAAACTCTGTTTTCACCTCCTTCCGTTAGTCACCCATTAAAGGGCTTTGCTGTAAGGGCTCTGTTTCACCTCCTTCTGTTAGTCACACATTAAGGCTTTACTGTGAGCTCTGTTTTCTACCTCCTTC